AATAAAATATATGCTCGTATTGAGTCAATGAACCAAAACAAGTATAAACAATATACATATTAAATTAATATACCTACACGTTGGTCGATTCTTAAGACGTTTTTTGAACGACTACAGAAGAATTTGCCTATTGTGTAATAGTTAAACATCGCATTATTAATAATAATGATAGTTAATTCAATAATTCAATTTCAATAATTAATATTAATAATTAATAATAATAATTATAAATATAAACAATAAATATCTAAAGAAAAATACTCGTATATATTTTATATTTTTGATGAAGTATAAGTATTTGTCAATTAAATATTATATTTATTTACATATTTCAACTTTAGATATTTTGACATTATTGAACTATTGGATTATTGTCAATATGTTTGGTTGTCGTCCCAAAAACGTCTCAATAATCAATCAATGTATATATTACATGAATACCTATTTATTTCTACTAATTTGCTCAACTAAATTGCATTTACCGGTTATATAATAATACAAGTTGTGTTATTTTTCACATCACAGGATACCAAGATTTGAAAACTAATGATCGAATGCTAAGTGTACTATCGGTTTCGGAAAGTTTTTTATCAATATTTCGGACTTAACTTAAAATGATTATTATATCAAATTAAACGTTGGCAGCCGAAAAAATGTACTATATGCACCTCGTGTAACGGAATCAATACGATGCATATGTAAGTATTTTAAGACGATAGGAATCATGCGTGTATGCGTTGTGACAAAAAAATAAATTTTCTAAATAGATTAACGAACAAATATAAAACTCTGTTCATTATGTAGTTTGAAAAAATTCGAAAATCACATTATTCGACAACGGGAGGATATTTTTATTTTTTAATGGCTCAGTAAAAATTGAAGTCTGTGTGCTTATAAGAAGTAGGTTAGTCTACTCTTCAAAATTAATATTTATAAGAATATCAAATCCATGATCGCTTACAAACATGTTAGATTTAGATAAAAAAACTTCAGTTTTAAAATAAACATCGCTTAATTTCAGAGGCATATAAGTAACCAAAACGATGAAACCCAAATTGATATACTTGAGTGACACTGTCACTGCACAGAAGCGCATAACAGTAGCTAGAAAAAATAGCTGATATGGCTATTGCACATGTTACCCTAACTACACTAAAACAAAGAATACGTATAACTGAAATCTACCGGTTATACTTTTTTTTTATTAATATCTTACGTTAAGGTATATATGCAGTTAATAATGATATTATTCTTCGATATATGTTTTTACTTATCTTTGTCTTTAAAAATACATTATAGTAAGATATTTTAGCAAATTTTTTTCGAAGCCGCATTTTTCATAGCTTACTAATTATCATCAACCAACCTCATAAGATAACTGTTTTCGATTATTTTGATTAATTTTTTTCGATTACAGATTAACTTGTCGTTCATATTTATGGTGGTGTTAACATCGGAGTATAAACCTATTTAGTTTTTTGAGAAATTACACTTGTTACACGTGATTTACTAGTTTTAATAACAACATTTTTATATTTTTATAAATTAGAAGAATTAATATGTTTTACCATGTTTATGTATGCGCATTATTTTTATTTCCTTTCTCGACTCGTTCGGGATGATTCATTCTGAGACAGTAACTATTGCCTTGTTCATATAATACGTATCGATTTCATATGTGACATTCTACCCCTAGTAATTTTAACCACTTTAAAACTTAAACATATCCATGATAATAATATTAACTTCATAAGTAGTTGGACATAATCATAACGAACAACATTTACTAAGTTAAGATACAATTTTTTTAACTTGAAATTTTATTTTTGATGTATTTTCAATGTTTTTGTCAAAATATCATATAAATGTATTTTTCTAGATAAAACAAACATTTTAACTTCAAAAATCATAATACTGAATGAAAAAATATATTTAGCTTTTTTTAACACTAAAAGTTAAAATTTTGTTCATTTATTTTTTGTATTTTTATTAATCGAACTTAGAGTAAAGAAATTATGAGTAATCACCCTTTTACTATACAAATACATGGTTGTTTGTAAAAATATATTTTTGTGTGGAAAATGAAATTAACACTTAATTAAAATGATTAAATAATTTTCTATAAAACTTCAAGAAATTTATTAAAATAATTTACTAACTTATTCATTAAAAACAGTGGCAGTTCTATGGGGGGCGGGTCACTCCCCTAGACCAATATAACGTTACAACAAAAACCTGATAATATATCTTCGATTAACATTATTTTAGGTATTTTATTACAAGTCCAAAAAAAACTATTATTTTTTAATATTATATGAATTAATTTTTTAAATTTAACAAACTATTTTTTTTTATGGCTACTATTTTTAAGGATTGTATTTTATGTGAAAAATATTTTCTTTCCCCCTTGGAATTTATCAAGGACCGCCACTGATTAAAAATGTATAACACTAGTTTTTAGATATTAGGCTGTATCTACTTACTGTTATTCGTTTGTCGTATTAAATGTCGCGAAAAAAACCAACGGTGATTTTAATAATGTTGCAAATTATGTGCCGCTGTGCTATGGTCTTTGGAAATTCTGGTGCGGGCAATCCCTTTATTTTATCAGTAGTCCTGGCAAACCCATCAAATACGCTTCGGTACACATTTCATCTTAATATTAGATAATGTTTAGTGATATTAACATATAGTATATAAGTTCGACCATTGGGTTAAATTAATATAGGTGTGTTGAAATCCTATTCTCGTTAAGGTGAACTATAAAGAGTTTTATGCTTCTCCTTCTATACTCCTATTGTTTTTTAATCTAATCTACTTGTATGTTTAATCTACATTAAGAATATCAACTACAACTACCAACTATATTTTTATTTGAACCAACAGTTTATTAAAGTTCATACGAGATACTCTATAAAGTATTTTAAATAGATAAAGAATGATTAAAATCACATATTGTTTGATTATTTCCTTGAGATTTTCTGCTAAAAACTAAAATACAATAAAAACACAATATTATTGATAATTAACGATTCAGTGTAGCGTATATTAATATATATGATTGATGAAATATATACTTAAATAGAAATTCATTTTATTTTGTAATACAAATTTTTAGAAAAATGTTAGCCAATTAATAAACGCGGTTACTTTACAAATAATATAAGTAGATTTGTGAAGTTATAGAATTAAAAATATTAAAATATGCACACAAAAATTTCAAAATACAAGCAAATATAAATATACAGTAAAATTATCAAAAATGTTTCCTAAATATCAAAAACCCTTTAATTAAAATAATAAATAAATATTGATATAATAAACCAAAAAATAAGTTTTATATTCCTTTTACTATAACAAAAAATAAATTAACTTAGTATAAATATTCAATTTCAAATTCAAATATTTAAAACACTTAAGTTTTAGACATGTAAATTTTATTTAAATTAAAATCATCAAACTGGTTCAATATTAAATTGAAGATTGAAAATTACTAAGATAAGATTTAAAAAAATTAAATTATAAAATAATAAGTATTTACGACAAAACATAAGAAAATATACATTTTAAAATTTTTTATATGAAATAGCTATAGTTTCTATATTTTTATATAAACAATCTACAACGAAACTCATTTTGGTAAAATCATTTTTGAATTTTAGAATTGACGAAAACAATAAGTAAATGCTACAAGTAGTCACAACCTTGGTTATAATTAGGGCTCGGAAGTTAATGCATTTTGCATTATTTTTTTTTTAACTTTTTAGACGATGCTCTTCTGGCCATAAATGTATGGCAACTTTCTTATAATAGGTGGTGATTTTAATGCCAAGCATTCTCAATGGAGCAGTAGATATACTAATACAAGAGGAAGGCTATTCCATACATCAATTCTAAAACACAAATTATCATTTATCTCCCCTGATTAACCAACTTATTGGCCTTCACATGCAAACGGATCCCCCGACATTCTCGACTTTTTTATTAAACAGATTCTAAATAGTTTAAACAAATTTATAACAAATCTTAAGCACCTATCAAGCGACCACTCTCCTGTTTTATTAACTTTAGACGCTAAAATTGCCTCTACCACTACTATCCCGTTTCTCTCATCCGGCCCTGTAGACTGGAAACTTTTTCAAGCTAAATTAGACGAATCTTTGTCTCTAAATACTACTCTAAAATGCCCTCTCGATATTGACCTAGCAATCTCCAAATTAACAAAAACTATCCAAAATGCAGTTTCTCATTCTTCCTTGACCACCTCAAAAAAAAAAATCAATCTAAATCCCACATCTCGCTCTCCTCATACTTAGTCAATCTTATAAAAGCCAAACATCGTGCTCGATCCTTGTGGCAACGATCGAAATACCCTGAACACAAAACTGCCTACAATCATCTATCAAACGATCTTAAATCTCAATTGACGAAATATAGATCTGAACAATTTAGTCTATACCTAAGTACTCTGTCTCCTAATAAAGGCTTCCTCTGGAAAATGACAAAAAAGCTAACAAATCAACGTGAAAATATCCCTCCTCTTAACATCCCGACAAATCATTAGCTATCACTGATTTAGAGAAAGCCAATCTCTTTGGAGCCCACATATTTTCAACTTTCTCTCCTCATCCAGAAGTAATCCCTATGCCAGACCACACTGACCTAGTAAACTCATTCTTGTCTTCTCCCCAGAGGCGTGCCCAGGATTAAAATGTAGGATAGGCCCGGTTATAATTATTTTAGTTTATATATGTACACAATATACATTATTTTTTTTTTTAGAAACTTAATAATATTTTTAAATTGAATTAGAAAAAAATGATTATAAAATAATATAATACAACACATTTTATTCCTCCTATTTGACTTGTTAATAATACTTAAAGTTACATATTAAAAAATAAAATTAAGTTTTTATACAACTGAATAATACCTAAATGAATGCAAATGAAAAAATAGTTGTTTTAATTATAAGTACATAAAAATATAAAATATAACACTTATTTAGTGAATTGAAGTCTTCGATTTTTCAATTTAGCAAACTCGTCAACAATCTTTGTAGAATCCTGAATTAATTCAAAACTTAACTCCCTCTCAATAGAAATTAACACTAAATTATGAAGACGTGTAGTAGACATAGATGTTCGTAAATAAGTTTTTATCCTTTTCATTGTTGAAAAACTTCTTTCCGCCGATGTTGAACTTACAGGTATAACTAACACTCGTTCAATGACTTTTTTAATTTCTCCAAATGACTGCCCCATAATGCATATTTCGTTGTAAAAATCTAAAATATTTTTACAACTACTGTACATATTTTTTGCTAATTTGCTTTGACTTATTACTTGGTTAGAGAAATAATTATCATCTCCATAATAATTTATACACTTTAAAACAAAATCATCATTTAAAAAGTTTGTCGATATCGGATTGAATACTGAAATAGCAGTTAAAAATTCTGAATTTTTATTAAATCTTTTTTTCATTTCATTCAACATATTATCTATTACTATAAAATACATAATTCGCAATTTTTGAGTCGTAGTTTTATTACATTTTAAGCCAATTGTTGAAGTAATTACATAATCACTTAATGTACTATTAATATTTTTCTGTCTTTTTTCATAATTATCCATAGAGATATTTAAATTTGAAGCCATAATTTGAGCTTTTTTATAAAAGTTATTGAAAAATTCATCCGAACGTAAACTTTGAAGCTCTTTTATTGTAGCATCAATTAAATTTAAACACTTAATTATATCAAGAGAAGAAGATTGTAAATGTATTGAAAGTATGTTGATAGTTGATAAAAGGTTATCAAGAAATGTTAAAACAAATAATACGTCAAACGATCGAAATTGGTTTAATAATCCTTTGGCTTCTACGGTCTCTTTTTTTTTTTTTTGAGCTACTTGACAGTTGTGATAAAGCTTTTATGACATGTTCAAAACGAATTAAAAAAAAATGAATACCTTTATATTTTGCAACCCATCTAGTATCACTATGTTGAGGGACTTTTAAAATTGTTTCACAATCTTTTTGGACATCAGAAAATATTTTATAACGTAAAGTTGAACTCGATTGAAATGCATATATTGCTTCAAGCAATCCAATAGTATTGTCAACAATCTTAACTGATTTAGCAACATCGACCAAAACTAAATTAAGCCGATGTGCATAGCAATGTATATAAGGGTATTTGTTTTTAGAAAGTTCTCTAATTTTTACTTGTACGCCATTGGTAGAACCAGACATTACTGATGCACCGTCGTAGGATTGACTTATACATTTTGTAATATCTAAACCAACTGAATTTAAAAATTCGATAATAGAATTAGTTAGGCCTAGTGCATCTAATTCTTCTACTTGTACAAATCCTAAGAACCTTTCTTTTATAGTTAATTTATGTACATATCTGATACATATTGACATTTGTTCAAATGTTGACGCATCACGAGCTTCATCAACAATTAAACTATAAACCGAACTACCTTCATTCACTTCTCTAATAATAGTTTGTAAAATGATATTTGAAGACGCAAATAAAATATCATTTTGGATTTTATTTAAAGTATATTTAGCATTTTCAGGTAGGGACTTTAAATTTATATTAAACTTTTCATTTTCCAAACATAGTAAATCTAATAGTTCTTTAAAATTACCTTGATTTTTTGTAGTTTCTAAGTCGTGTTCGTCTTCATTTGAATATTCGATTACATTATTGTGACCACGTAAACCTATATCCTGTCGTGCGCAATACAAAACTGAACGAATTACACTTTTTAATACTTCTCGATTTTTATTTATATTCTCTTCGACATGACTATTCATTTGAGTTGTAACAGCTCCTATACTTTTTGATGATATATAACCTTGATATTTGGCTAACGATGTTTTATGCGAATCTGCCGAGTTATGTTTTTTTGCCATCCCCGAAATATTTTTCCAATTATTATATCCTGTGGCTATTAAAACATCTTGATGCTTTTCACGAGATATAGAACTAGTAAAATGACGACAAAAAAAACAGAAAATTGCATCCAATTGAACAGAATATTCAATCCAAGGATAAACTTTGTACCATGAACTTTGAAAACTACGTTGTTTTTCACAAATTTTACGACGTGGAAAATTGATAATCGGCTGAATAGGTTGTTCATCACTATTTAAGCTAATATCAAGCACATTTAAGCTAGACGAGGAAATAGAAGACTCGTTAAAAGTTGAGGTAACATTTAATTTTAACATTTTTGTTTGTGGTTGATCTATTGTAGTATCATCATCGTTCAATGTCCTTGTGGGTTTCGGAATAGGTTTAAAAAACTGGCTAATCATATTTTTATTTTTATTTAATTATTAGTCAAGTTATAATCAATATAAAATAAAAACGTACTTAGGTTATTCTAATAGTGTACATAAACAAAAACAGACAAAACGAATAAAACGATTTCCTCTATCGGCTCAGTTACACACAAGTCACTATAATACGTCTACACAGTACACAGTACACACTGTAATAAACTAATAAATTATTAATACCAAAAAATAACATATTTTGTAAACCATATTCATTATCTTATATCAAATGACGATTGTCGGCAGTGAACGGCCAGTGACGAATGTATAAATAACTCACTTCGGGTGTAGGTATTATTGTCTATTATTTACTATTTTTAGCCGATAAGCATTACTGTGGCTACAATTGTTTGCGACGAAGGAAAGAATTATTAATAACGTAAAAACGCTTGCTATAAGTGGGTAATAAATAAATAATCTTTGTTCCAAAATGATTCAATTACATATCGTATTATGAAGCAAAAAAATGTATAAAATTATGTTTCTTGAAAAATATTAATAATTATTATTTGAAAACAGGGTAGGCCTGGGCCTACCAGGCCTACCTGCTGGGCACGCCACTGATAGAATCTCGTCACTAATTGATCAACAAAATATTTTACCTAAATCTCAGTTTGGATTTCGTCGAAAACATAATACAATTCAACAAATCCACAGAATCGTAGATAAAATTTCATCCTCTTTCGAGTCAAAACAATTTTGCCCTGCGGTATTTCTCAATATATCACAGGCCTTTGATCGCGTTTTGGCATGACGGACTTCTTTTCAAACTTAAGCACTTTCTCCCTTCACCTTACTTTTTTTTTAATTAAATCTTATCTTGATAACCGGTCTTTTTCATTACGCCACAAAAATGAGTTTTCTACTATCCAAAAAATTAAGGCAGGTGTTCCTCAGGGTAGTGATCTCTCTCCTTTACTTTATAATATCTATACCTCTGATATGCCCACTTCGAATCAAACTCTCCTCGCCACATTTGCTGACGACATAGCAATATTTGCTTCAAATAATGACTCAGACACCGCTTCACACAACTTACAATTGCACTTAAATTTAATTGAGTCTTGGGCAAAAAACTGGAAAATTAAAATTAATGACGATAAATCCGCACAGGTTAACTTTTCCCTTAAGAAAAAAGAATGTCCCTCACTCAAATTTAATAACAAACCTAGTCCACTACATCGTTCAACTAAATACCTAGGTATCACTCTAGACAAAAGGCTAACTTGGGCAAATCATACAAAAAATAAACGTAAACAACTAAACTCCCGTCTCCATTTACTCCGACCTCTTCTAAAATCGAAATTAAATCTTAAAAATAAAATATTAATTTACAAATCTATCATAAGACCAATATGGACCTATGGTATTCAAATATGGGGCCCAGCGAAACCAGCTAATATCCGCCCCATCCAAGCCTTCCAATCCATCTCATTAAGGCTCTTAACCGGTGCTCCGTGGTATATCACAAATTCAGCTCTCCATTATGACTTAAAACTTCCAACAGTAAATGAACTTGCCAAAAGCTACTATAAAAAATTCCATTCCAAATTAATTAACCATTCTAACCCCTTTATCAACAACATGTCTTCTCTCACATTACCTCTTAATATTCCTCGACAACTAAAAAGAAATTGGGCTAAGGATCTTCTAAACTAAATCTAAAATTAAAATAAAATAATAAAATAAAATTGTATGCCCAAACTCAAATTTTCTGAGGTTCTGTCACTGGACAGTTTCCTTTTCATGTGCTACATGTCTTCTTTAATCATTATCATCATTGTTACTTATTATTTTGTGTGTAAACAGATTGTAATATATTTTATTAATAAAAAAAAAAAGTTGAATAATTAAAAAATTTTTTTTTTCGAAATGTCAAAAAATAAAATATCGTTTAGTGCTCGTCTGAGTCTTCCAATCACTTCAGTGGACGTGGAGAGAAGTTTTTTCAAATATAAATATTTATAAACTGATAATCGACGTTCAATTACTTTTAATAACATAAAATATGCTCTACTTGTACAATGTAATGATATTGATTTTTGAGTAATTTGTGAGCTTTGATAAATTTATAAAACAAATATTTGTAATTTTTTTATTTCATTTTTTAAGGACATTTGTTGTCATTATTAAATCATATTTTGAGTAATTTGTAAGTTTTGACAACATTTTGTAGTAAAATAGAGTAAAATATTTTACAAAAATGTATTTATATTAATTTAAAACAAATATTTATAAATTTTTTAGGTCTTTTTTTAAGGACATTTATTGTTATTTTTAGGTTATTTTTTAATATTTTTAAATCAACCTTCCAGCCCTAGTTATAACTATTCCAATTCTTTGTATTTTCACTTACATTAAAATGCACGATAAATGATTTTAATAAGTTTTCAAACTCGAAAATCTTCAATTTGAGAACAGTAAATTGTACAAAACTCGTGCATTGTCCTAACAAATAATATTTCTACCACTGTCATTACAATAGACAAACCCCGAAATAAAGATTAATTATTATTTATTATTATATTATTATGACATATATTAATATATAATACGGTCCCCATCGTTATTTTATTCCTTATATAAAAAATAAAAATTTCTAATCATGAATATGAGTAATAATAAAATAATAAGTATCTAAATTGCATTATGAATGAGCAAAATCAACAAAATTGCAATCAAATCGAAAAATTCTAAAAATTGCATAAAATTGCACTAAAAATGTTTAGTTTTTAATTAGTACTTACATGGGATAAATTTATGTCTTACTTATCGATAAATCAGAACAACAGAAAAAAAAAAGTTGCGAATGCAACACTTCCGAGGCCTACTCATTCTATAAACATTAAAAAACTAACCGCATTGAATATGATACACAAATGTACTTGTAGTTAGTTTTCTTTCAATGATCATTTTATACACAGTACTATTTCACACGTTTGGTTCATGTGTTCATAATGTCTAATACTTCTGGTCATCATGTGTTCATAATGTCTAATACTTCTGGTCATCATGTGTTCATAATGTCTAATACTTCTGGTCGAATCTATATTAGTGAACAATGAATTAAACCAATAATTAACGAAAAATGGAAAATCGTCGAACAATTTGGCTGATTAACGAAATAGGCGAGTATTATTCTACTTTAAAACTCTAAAATGGACAAAAAAGATTTTGGTTTTATACAACTCACTCAAAGTGTATTGTCTATTGTATGGATATAGTGCGTAACTATCAAAGAATCGATCGGAACAATATTATACACAAATAAATACCGTAAAATAATCACTGATTAATTACTACAATGATAAATAATTATAATTAAACTTACAATGTACTATCCAATCGGCTTAATAAACCCTACTGCACTTATTTCTCTCTATCCGGATGTAATATTATTTACATTGATGGTTATTAAGGGGGGCGATAAGGTGGATCGATGTGGGGCGATAAGGTCCCCTCTCGGGATATGGTTTTTTAAATTTAGTATATCGGTAGCCCAACAACATCTATCTACAAATTTTATATAATTATTATAAGATACATTTTTTAAGTCGATATATTTATAAATTTTTTTTAATACATTAATATTGAAGTGTGTTAATATTGTTAATATATAAAAATTATACATTTATACATACTATATAATCCGTATGTATATTTCATATTATATATATATATATATATATATATAAATGCTATGGGGTGAGGGAAGGTTGGCTTTATTTTCGCCCCCCACCCCTTGAACACCATGTATAACCACTACTGATTATTTATGATTGCAAAAATAAGATTCTTGTACAGGGAAAACCCCATATTTTAACGTATAGTCTGCACTGCGCATTTTAAGCAATTTGAACTAGGGTCCGTGGAGACTCGAAAATCGTCCACTTATGAAGTGGCGCACACTGGAAAGTCGCCAATTAAGTATTTGTAAATACGGAACAATATCCTGTTTGGGTGAAATGACGAAACGCAATCAATAGAAAAGACGAGTGAAATTGTTTACCGTTTTTTGAATTTAATACTTAACTTTTAAAAATGTATAACAAAAATTAGCTCGAGTTATTTCAAATCAAGTAATTTTACGTCCTACGAGGTAAATATGTGATAACAGAAATTAAAACTCATCAAACATACGTTCCGCAAAAAAATGATTGCTTATTTATATAGGTACTCAAATTATTTATTAAAAACAAGTTGTGATGAATAAATTAATATTATTTGGCATCGAATCACTTTTAAAGAATAAACATTTTCTTTGCATTGTTACAGAACTAGTTACGGATATATTAATTTTTTTTTGTCGTAGTTAATGTGGCTCGTAATTTATATTATATTATAAGCGTGAGAAATTCATTTTAATATAAAAAATGATTATAGTATTATTATAGTTTGAATAATAAAATTATAAAGATTTATAAACGTGTTTTATTATTATTATTATTTTAAAAATTAATTAAATAAGTGGGAATGAATTTTTGAATACTGCCAAGAAAAAAATATATGTATGAATTTTATGCTATTTATTAAATCATTATAAATTATAATACTCTTAATTTACAAATACTGTTGATATTTATTAACTAATAATACATACATAAATAATTTATTTGGTTAAATCTCAAGGAAGTTGGATAAAATTCTCCCATACCTAAACTAAATCCCCCATACAACCTACGATTATTTTAATATTTCACAATTGCTTTTAAATATTTTTATTAACACAATCAATTAAAATATACGAATTTCATGGAACGAAGCCCGAAGGCCAAATATGCGGGAATAAATTAATTCAGAATTAATGTTTTTTTTTTTTTTTAAAAAAAAGCATAAACAAGACATCATTAAAACAAAATGAAAGTTATATTTGTTATTTGTGTAACACAATAGTGATTAATAATATAAGGAAGAATGGTTTTTGAAAGAGTGGATATAAAATATAAAACATTTTTTTTAAGGACATATATAAAGATATA